TGGCTCCCTACTTTAGCATTCCAGTCCCCTAGAATGGGGTGTCAGTTCTAGAAGGTGTTGTAAATCTTCATAGAATTGTTCAATTTCAGTCTCCTCAGCAATGCTGGTTGGTGCATAAACTTGGATTATTGTGATGTTGAATGGTCTGCCTTTGATTCATATTGACATCATTCTATCATTTTTGAGATTGTATCCCATTACAGCTTTTCCCACTCTTTTGTTGACTATGAAGGCTACTCCATTCCTTCTACGGGATTCTTGCCCGCAGTAGTAGATATGATAATCATCTGAGCTGAATTCGCCCATTCTTGTCCATTTTAGTTCACTGATGCCCAGGATGTCGATGTTTATTCTTGCCATCTCCTGTTTGACCACCTCCAGCTTCCCAAGGTTCAAAAATCTTACATTCCAGGTTCCTATGCAGTATTCTTCTTTGCAGCATTGGACATTCCTTTCCCTTCCAGGCGCGTCCACAGCTGAGCGTCCTTTCGGCTTTGGCACAACCACTTCATTAGCTCTGGAGCTACTTGTACTTGTCCTCCGCTCTTCCTCAGTAGCATGTTGGATGCTTTCCGACCTGAGGGGCCCATCTTCCAGCGTCATATCTTTTAGCCTTTTGTTTCTGATCATGGTGTTTTCTTGGCAAAGATACTGGAGTGGCATTGCCGGTTCCTACTCCAGGTGGATTGCGTTTAGTCGGAACTCTCCACTATGACCTGTCCGTCTTGAATGGCCCTGCACGGCATAGCGCATAGCTTCTCTGAGTTACTCAGGCCCCTGCGCCATGACAAGGCAGCAATCCATGAAGGGGTATCTCACCTTACGTCTGTATAAAAGACGCCCCTCAATTTTTAGGAAAAAGTAGCGTCTTATAGACGGAAAAATATGGTACTTTGAAGGAATCTAAATATTGCAACTGGAACAAGTTCAAATATTCTTGTGCTTATTAGTGGCCAAGTAAAATTAAGCAGAAACTTAATTTGGCCTCTGCTGGTAGAAGACCATCTGAAGAGGAGTGCATCTTACAGTTGTAGAAAGGAAGGTATTAGTAAGAATTGAGCGCTTAGAACTCAGAATGTTACAGTATCCCTAATCATGGTGTCCTTTTGTTTCAACAGTGAACGTGATTCATTGGAGCATGACTTCTCAGACCTCCGAAGAAAATATGAAATATTGGAGGTCTCTCACAAAGCACTAATCAAAGAAAAAACTGATTTATCAAAAGAGGTAGAATCCTTTGGGGCTTCATTAAAAAAATTACAAAGCTATTGAAATGTGTTTCTTTTGATTGTCCTACATTATCTCTAAAATTTTTGCTTCAGTCATATTTTGTTGTGTAACAATTATGCATTGTTTTGCTTGACTTCTATAGTGTACATCAATCTGGCTCCCTCGTTTATTTTATTTATTTATTTATTTATTTATTTATTTATTGTCATTGTCATTGTAAGTATATACACAGTATACCCATACAATGAAATTCAAAAAAGGCATTGGGTAGGTCATATAACCAGGTTACAGTATGCTGTAGAATATAGCATGCTGTTTGTAAAGAAAAAGGGATGAACATGGTGGCATCACAGCAAGTGCACTCGCAGAGCAAGAAATAAGTATTAATGCAAACTGAGGTACAGTCAAATGAGCTGTCTCACAACATAAAGGAAGTGGAAAAGTGTAAACTTGCTTCCTGTTTTGTTGGCTTTTTGTTACATCATTGTGAAAGCTGTGTTGAAGAATTGTAAGGACATCTTTAACATAAAATAAAAATTAATGTACAGTATAAATAAAAATCCTGACTTGGGGAAGGTTGTATATGCAGATGACTTTATTTTTATCATGCTTCTATTTGTATACCTTTTCAATTTAAAGGTTGCAACTTTACAGCAGTCTGTCACCTTGCTCCAAAAAGATAAGGATTACCTTAACCGTCAAAATATGGAGCTCAGTGTTCGTTGTGCTCATGAAGAAGACCGTCTTGAAAGACTTCAGGTTCAGCTAGAGGATGCCAAAAAGGCCAGAGAAGAAATGTATGAAAAATATGTAACATCTAGGTATGTTATTCAGTTTATCTTTTTAATGTCAGTATGAATCACTGCATTAGAAGCTTGTTGGGGAAAATTATACTAAATATAATGCTTATGGTCAGTTTATCAGAAGTAATGAGGCCCACCAACTGGAATCAGATTCTGGTTCAATGTCCTCAGTTTTCAGTTTTTATGGTAACATGCAAAAGTAGAGAAACTGAATAACCATTGGTACTTCTGGATTCACCCAAGTTGAAACTAAGCTTTCTAATCCTTAATTTCTTCTCGTTGAACTTGGAGTATTTATATGCTACATATGATTTGTCCTGATGCTGAATTTATTAAAAACAGAGTTTAAAACTATGTGGCATTTCCATTTCTTTCATCTTTCTTCATTAGGAGTGATGTTCCCATAGGCTTATAGATAATCTTTTACCATGTTAGGAGCATTTGTAGAAACCAAGTTACATGAATAGGAAACTGTAAATTCTGAACTCATATTGATTCCTTTGCTAGCAGCTTTTAAGCAGAAATCTGCCTTTTGTTTCAGGAACAGCAAATCTTCCTGTCATCTTAGCTCATGCTCAGGTTGATAATGAATGAGCTAATAAGATTATAGCAAAGGCCTGTACTTTTTGATAAGGACTAGGAAAGCACTGATTCTTTACACAGTCAATAAAGGTCATCAGAATAATTGATTACAAGAATAAGAAAGCATTTTGCCTTACGTTTTAAATGTTTTTTTTTCCAAGAGATCATCATAAAGCAGAGTATGAAAACAAACTTCATGATGAATTGGAACAGATAAGACAGAAGACATCCCAAGAAATAGAACAGCTTCGAACAGCGACAAAGGAAATGTATGAGCGTGAAAATAGGTAAGAAAACATTAATTTTACAGGAAATGGTAGTGTCACAATCCCCACGTGGCCCCTGCTTGTTTCACCAAACTAGGAGTTCATGCTACGTGCCCCTCAGCTGCCATCAGTTGATTACATCAACATTGCCTATTATTAATAATCGATTTCCAGGCCACATGTCATTTTAAAAGAACTAAATAGAAATTGTTTATTGTTACAGATGTTAATAGAATAAGCAATGCTGTTAACTCTTAAAGAGACATTCTCCTTTATCCCTCTCAACCACCACTCTCCCGCCCAAACTCCAAAACTTTTAATCTCTTCAACTCTAACTCTCTGTCTGACTTCCCCTCCTCCTGCTGAGTCTTATACAGCAGTGGTCCCCAACCTTGGACCTCCAGATGTTCTTGGACTAAAGCTCCCAGAAGCCTTCACCACCACATCTGCTGGCTAGGATTTCTGGAAGTTGAAGTCCAAGAACATCTGGAGGCCCAAGGTTGGGGACCACTGTTATAAAGTATCTCAGGACTTTGACCCTCCAGCACTCCCACTGGTCTGTGCAGATAGAATGTTCATGACTTGGGTGGATGCTACAGGTCGATATAAATACACAAATACATCAGCAGTCAACTGCAGTGTGGAGCATTCCTCACTTAAAATTCCAGCAACCCCATTTCAGTCGTTCTGTGATTTGGGTTGCTTCCAATAGGACTGAGCGTGCTTAGTGATTATGGAATGTGCCTATTGGGTCCTATTGGGGCCATTTGTTTTTCCTTCACTCCTTATAATTTTTCACTTCAGACTGTTCTGCTTCTGCAAATCCCTGAGCCTGCTGATACTTCCATTGTAATATTGTGTTTTTTTGGTGGGGGTTATATGAACTAGTAATCCCATAATTAAAATCATTATTTATATGTATGATTAGGAATGCAAATATGATGAGTCTGTGCTTTATAGTGGTGGTCCCCATTCTTTTTAACACTGTGGACTGGTTGGGGAAGGCAGGGCACCTCCCTGCGCTTGCCCGGGTATTCACCACTCGCATGCATATGTGAAGGAGCAAGGGGCGCTCACACGGGTATGTGCACACTTGTGCACATGCACAAAGGACAGGGGGCACTTGGGGGCACTCGCATGCATGTGCAAAGGGGTTGGGGGGTTCTCACACAGGCGCGAAGGGGCTATGCAGGGGGGGAGTGTGTGCAGGGTGGTGGTGGTAGATCTGTCTCCGCGGTCAGGCCCAGGCCGTAGACCGGGGGTTGGGGCCCATTGGTTTATAGTATTGAAGCAGATTCACATTCTTTTCTCTTTCGCTATGCTAGTATGGAGCTGTTTAAAGCAGAGCTCCCTCCACACTGCTTAAGTAACATGCGCGAAGGGGCTATGCAGGGGGGGAGTGTGTGCAGGGTGGTGGTGGTAGATCTGTCTCCGCGGTCAGGCCCAGGCCGTAGACCGGGGGTTGGGGCCCATTGGTTTATAGTATTGAAGCAGATTCACATTCTTTTCTCTTTCGCTATGCTAGTATGGAGCTGTTTAAAGCAGAGCTCCCTCCACACTGCTTAAGTAACATCACATCAGAAATGTGCACACTTGTGCACATGCACAAAGGACAGGGGGCACTTGGGGGCACTCGCATGCATGTGCAAAGG